GAAAGTGATGGGGAACAGACACTGGTTACAGCCCAGCAGCAGCCCAGGGAATGAACTGGCCCTCCCTGCAGTGTTTAACTTGGGGGTTCCTTCATCCTCATGCTGATTTGCCCCAGTTTTAGGTTTTCCTGCTCTAATGTGGCTCTGGGAGGACAGGGACTGTCAGTGGGTGAAAATGGGGCATTACAGGGGAACAGATGTGTCCGGGGGGTGGCAGGGAGGGGGGATACACTAACCTCAACCAGGCTTCACCTAGCTAAGCTCTGCTCAGAAACACATGTCCAGTTCCTTTGCAGTGAGCAGCTCCTTGGAGGTTCAGCCACGCCAGTGTGGTCAGTGACTGGTGCATGAAAAACACTCAAGGAAAGCTAATTTCCTTTCAATCTGCAAACAGAAATGATGCAAACAGACGAGATGGACCAGTTCTGGGGCCCGAGGAGCAGGGAGTTCAGATCACCTGCTGCAGCCAGGTTTGACAACTTCTCCTGTGACAGGTCTGTACATCCAGAATGATTTGCAATAATTTATCTCCATACACTCAAGTAATCAATGTCTATTGAATGGGAGCTTCCCTCTAACCACAGAGGTGACCATTAAGCATTAGGATTTCAGGATGACTCCCTATAGCTTTGGGCAAAGCTGTTTTTTTGCCAGCAAGCTGTTTCACAGAGCAGAGATGCTATCACCTGCCTGCTGGGATCTGTGAAAGAGCAGGATCAGACCTACATGTCCCATAGGATTAAAACAAACCACAGTTGTCTGGGCAGCAGACAGCTCTTTGGAAAGGGTAAAGCCTTTCCCTTCACACTGTCCTTGTGCAACGGCCCCTAAAAAAAGCTACTGCTGCAATAAAACCAACAAATAACAGATCTGAGAAGAGCAAATCATGGGATCAGGGGCAGTGGGACAAGTGATGCTTTGTCCCCTGCTCTGTCCTGAGCTGCCAGCTCCTTCCCAATAGTGGGGTCTGTCACCCCAGCCCTGTCACACTGATGCCACCACACGGGTGGCTGGCAGCTCCAGTCTGCCATTCCTGGAAATGGGGAACATGGCAGGGTCCTCATGGAACGGTTTAAGTTGGAAGGCACCTAAAGATCATCCAGATCCAACCCCCCTGCATGGGCAGGGACACCTCCCAGCAGCCCAGGCTGCTCCAAGCCCCATCCAACCCGCCCTTCAACACCCCCAGGGATGGGGCAGCCTGATCCCCGCATTGGCAGCGGGCAAGGGGCGGTCCCGGGACACGGGGTGGGACACAGACCGGGGCTCTTCCTGCCCCGCATCCCGGCAGGGAACAGCCCCGGACGGGGCCTTTCCCCGCCGGTCCCATCAGAGCACATGCCCTAGAAATGTCACCTTGAACTGGATGGGAAGGTAAAAACTTTACCATCTCCCTTGTTCGATGTCATTTCCCCCAGTGAACCCCCTGCCCGTCGGGCGGGGAAGCAGCTTTTTAACGCCAACAGACCCTTTGGGGAACCGAGGAGAACAAACCGACGGGACTTTAGGGCCGAGGGATGAGCTCAAAGACCCGCTCAGCGCGCCGGGGACGGGCCGGGACCCACCCGCTCCGCCGGGCCCCCCTCCCGGTCCGACCCTGCCCGGCAGCGGATCCCGATCCCGGCTGGAAGGTGGGAAAC